CGTGGGAGTCCAGCGACATAGCCACTACGCTAACTGCTGGTCCCAAAAAATAGTTTCTAGAATTTGAACAACTGGCAATTCAGGACATTGATCTCTGAACGAGGAAAAAATAAAAAGTAAGCCTTGCAATTTTTCTAATGTAGTGCCTGTTAATCAGAAAGTTTCTAGATTGTGACTCAGAAGGCAGAAACAGGTTGACTTCAGTAGTTTTCCTGAGTAGAGGGGTAGAATTTGAAGTTCAAACAATGAAGGCAGCATGAATTTCACAAGGCAGGGTACTGAAACAGAGAGGGATGTAGGTGAGAGCTCTGAAGATACGCACAGGATGCCCTTCAAGTCTTCAGTTAGTCATCATCAGTCTGTGAGTGTGAGGACAGGAAAAGTATACAGAAAAGGGCAGACAGAACAAGTTCTAGAGCTTCTTCAGTGCTCAGAACATACATTTTTCTCTCAGTTGAAATATACAAAGCATTATAAATAGCACTACCTTACAAATTTTAAAAGCTACCTTAACACAAGAAACAATTTTACTATGCAGATCTCTGTGCCATGACTTCTTGGATGCTTTCAATCTCTGACCTGGTAGCTTGAAAAACACATCAGGTATACATGCATGTGTGCCTCAAACCTCAATGAGATAGAGAAATAAAGAAGGAATTGTGATATGAGTAATGTAACCATATTTCAGGGCAGAGCTCAAAATCATTTAATGGAGGGCCAGTAGGTGACATGGTGGTTAAGGTGCTGGATTACCACATGACTGACCACGATTTGAGTTCTGGATCCATCAAGGATGGCAAAAAATGCAAAATATACAGGAAACAAGAAATGGAAAATTATTTGTTGACAATAACACATATGTTGATGTGCTTGATTGTGCCAAAATAAAGTTTATTCTGGATGGAAAATCTCATTTTGTATGCTGTAATGATGTATAATGAATGAATGTAAATAAATAAATTTAAATTTTAAAAAAAGGAAAGAAAATCATACCAGGTGCATGTGCACACTGGGCCAAAATCCCCAGAAGAGAATAGAGGACATGGGATTGTGGCATGGTCGTCCCTATAAGGATGTCTCTCTTTAGCAAGCCCACACTCCCTGTGGCAAAAACAAAAACATATACACACACACACACAGACATGTATAAAATATACATTTATAAAAAGAAGGGAATAAAATATAACCCATGAAGGAGAAAAAAATGCCAATAAAAAAATAGACTCAGATATGGTTTTTATACAAGAAGTACCAAGGGCATTGAATCAGTTGTGGAAAACTTATTCTTTATGTTCAGAAAGTTAGTAGAAAACCAGAGCAAGTTAAGATGTTTATGAGAAAACAAAACAACAAAACAACAACAAAAAAACCCAAGTAAACTTGTAGACATTAAAAATGCAATGTTTTCTATGAAAAATACGCATATTAGATTAACAGTACAAGAAAATGTTAGTATTTTAAGCAGTCTTTAAAGAAAAAAGAAAAGAAGTTTTTGTCATAGGGTACACATTCCACCTGAGAGAGGCAGGGAAAAATAGTAAGAGAGAAAATGAGAAATCACCGCCAGGGTGGATGGCTATGCTGCAGTTCCTTTTTGTCCATTCTCCTCTTGGGATATTGGGCAGGCACACAAACACACCCAGTATGATTTTCAAGCCACTGTGTCTGGAACTCAAACTGGTCAGCCGTGTGGGATACTAAGTATGTGTTCTTATTTTTTATAATCATTTATTTTATTTTATTGATTCATTCATTTGTTTTAATTTGACCAGAAACAGACACACAGAGAGGGGGAAAGAGAAAAGCAAGCCCAGGTTTGGAACTTCAACTGTGGTCAGCCACGTGGGGTCTGGGATCCAGTACCTTCACCACTCGCTGAGCTGGCCCCCCTGTTAGACAGTGTATTTACAGTGCTCAGAAGCCGGCTCCTGCCCTCTGCCATCGCTTGTTCACTCTCCTGGTATCTGTGCGAAAGCAAACAGAACGTGGGGCCGGCAGGGGGTGGGGGGGTTAAGGGTACTGGATTTCCACATGGCCAGTTGCAGTTCAAGTCCTGGACCTGGTAGCTTGCTTTCTCACTTTCCTTTTCTCTCTCTGGTCAAATTAAAATAATTCTAATAACACATGTAATTAAATAATTCTTTTTAAAAAATAGCAGAGTGTGTGTTTTTTTGTTCACCTTCGCGTTCCAGAGGGCGTCTGAGCTCTGCCCTGGTTCCCTCTTTGCTCCCTGCACCTCCGTGAGGCCCCTCGAGGGGAACCTTCCACCCCTGCCTCCCTTGCACTTTGTCCCCCTCAGCTGTCCTTGGAGCCCCAGTGGGAACCTTAGACGGAGCAGGGCCCGCCCCAGCCCCAGCGGTAAGAGTGGGAAGGCGGAGTGCCTTCCGGCCGTGCAGTGTGTCCACTGGGGGAGGTGGCGCGGTGCCGCCAGAGGGCAGAGCTCACCGTCCAGCTGCAGTCTGTGTTTCCCTAGCTTGAGATGGACGTGCGGTCTGCACGCTGTTGATTCAACAGCTTGTTTATCCAGACGTGGGTAGGAGCTGGGGTGAGCCCAGCCAGTATGGCTTTGTGGGTCCTTTCTTGGGAAGACAAAGTGTCCCCTTTGGTAACTGGCTTGCGGGAGGCAGGTGAAGGTGACGGAGCTTTGAAAGCGAGCAAGGGCAGCAGGTGGGGCCATAGCTCAGTCGGGCTGGGATGGAGAAGGGCAGAACTGCCTCACGCTCCTTCCTGGGAACTTGGTGACGCTGTCCTCACCAAGGGGCTGACAGCGCAGGTGTGA